AATCGATACTAAAACTATATCATAGTTCCATCATAGATTCAAATTTCTCAAACATACTCTTTAAATTTCATAATTACTTATTTTCATAATCAACCCTTCAACTTTCGCTAATTACAAAATTAAGCCGCTAATTGTGATTTTTTTTTCTAGAATTATCCTTAACTTTTCCATTAAATTCATAATAACCCTTCACCCTTATGATCATTCCATATAAATTTATAAAATTTCTAACACCTTATTAAAATATTCAAATCAATGCTTAAACATTCAAAAGTTTGAAATTTCATCCTAAACATTTTTAGACTTTTCAAATTCAACCCTTTACTTTAATAAACTTGCAAATTGCTCCCAACTTATAATCAAACTCCAAAAATCAGCATACTAATAAAAATTTCCAGCATTGTAATATTTTACTCAAATAATACTTTCACATTTAATAAATCACAATCAAGTCCCTAAACTTTAGGACTTTTTGAATTATACCACTAAAATTTACCAAACTTAAAATTTGGTTCCAACCAACTTCCCAACTTAAAAAATTCAGCATTTCAAATGTTAAAATTCAACATTGAACTCTCCAATTATCACTTTAATACAATAATATGCCACAAATCTCAAAACTTGTAAAATACCCTTTTTCTAATTCAAGCTTCCAAATTGATCTCCAAGTCACATAGAACACACCTAATATCAATTCTAAATCATACAAAATTTTTCAATATTTCTCCCCTATTTTTCCTTGAATGGTCAAATATTCCAAGAATCATAAAGCTTGATTTTCATTCAATTTCAAACATGAATTTAACTTCCTTATACCCAATTCATGCTAATCTAACCATTACAACATCAAATTAAATCAAAATTAATCCAACCTCAATAAACTTCAACTTGGCTGAATCTAATATAGGATTGTACACATGATTTTATTCATCACATAAGCCTTAGAATTAATTTCCAACATCAAGAAAAAATATATTTCATCAAATTCTTAAAATCCATAAACCCTTCATAAACCCTTATCACCAAATCTAAACATTCAAGCATGTTTAGCATGAATTTATTATACCAAATGATAAAGAATTTGATGGAGAACATTTTTCTATTTCACGACTTAATTCAAATCCTACTAAAATAGCTCAAAAATGACAGAAATTTTTTTCTCACCTTGTAGGGGTTTAACAGCAGCAACCTGATGGAGAAGAAGAACTCTTGATTTTTCTAGTACACATGACAATTTCAACTAATTTAATTGAATTTAAAATTCAATTAATGAAAAATTCCATTTTTTCCATTAATGAATCTTAAAAATTACCAAATGACATTGACATATTCTCTATTAAAATATTCTTTAGTCAAAGATGAATCAAATTGTCTTTGACTTTCTATTTTGGCCATGTAATTTTCAAAAATTATATTTTAGTCACTAAAATTCCACTATTCGGCCAAATCTAAAAACTTACACTGGTCTGTGCTAAATTTCTTTGATCTAAAATATGAAAATAATATTTTCAACCCTTATCTACCATCCTTCAAATTTTTCGTAAAATTCCGATTTGATCCGATTACCCGATTTATATACCGAACTTTATTGCTTTATAGCTTTTAATTCAAATTTAAAAGCTAAAATATATAATTTTCTAAAATTACAATTCTGGTCCCTAAACTTTTACAATGATTATCCTTTAACCACTAAACTTTCAAAACTTACATTTTAGTCACTAGACAAAATTTGGTGTATTACACAAGATAAATAGAATTGTTGAAATAAATAAAAATCTAATAATAAATCAATCAAACAATGATGGAAATAAATTGTAAAAACAAAAAAGGAAAAGGAAAAGGAAAACGGCATAATGAAAGTAAATTAAAGAATGACAAATGGGAAAATGGTTAAAATGGATTAGTATAACATTAAGAATTGAAATCAAAATAAAATGGAATTGTGAAGAGATAATCATAATGAATTTTAAAAAGAGATGATATTGTAATTATTTTCTACCCATATACAAACATGTGGATCTCACAGGGATTCAAATAGGGCCATTTAATTACAATAAAAATCTAATATTGGATCAAAATAAATTAATAAAGATAAAAGAAAAAAAATCATTCAAGATCCATCATTGATATTCATTTAGAAACCTCAAGGAAGGCTAAATCATTGAAGATTATTTAAAAGTCCTTGTTCCTCGATTTTCTCTCATTCAACGATTAGAAAAACTAGTGTCGTGATTGATCGAAACAAAATAAAGATAAAAAGTAGAATAGAGATAAAAAAGAGAAGAAAATGATTGTCGGTTTTCATTGAGAAAGCTCAAGGAAGGCTAAATATAAGAAGATTAATTCAAAAGCCTTTCATCATTGTTCCTGAGTTTTCTCTCCTCCATTAAAGTTTTTTTTTAAAAAAAAAGAAAAGAAAAGAAAAAGAATAAACAAAGACAAGAAAAAATGGCAAAGAAAAAAAGAAGAAAAAGAAAAAAGAATTACCTTGATCAAAAGTTTTTTATTGATTGAATCTTTCTTTCTTACAATCCTTTTTTTCTCCTTCTATTATAATAAGAGTGCCTATTTATACGCTCTCAAAAATCCTAAAAGAGAAAACCCTAACATTTTTTCATTAATGCTAGATATACTAATAAAAAAAATCCTAAAATAATAAAAAGATCCTAAATTGTCCTAAATAAATAATGAAAAGTATTAAGGCATTTCAAAGTACGTTGGAAAGCTAATTGAAAGTCGGTTCCATCTCAAGAAGACATCATGTCCTGAAAACATTTGAATCTTGCTTGAAAAATTGTTACAAATCGATTGATATCTTAGGTTTCAAAATCTGCTCCAATAAAAGGTTTGGGCTTTGGAAAATAAAACTAGGCCGGACAAAAATAAGGTATTATATGTACATGAACACTTACTTGTTGGTAAGAGAATTTCGATCTACTTAAAGGACACATTGAATCATGGGCTTATGTTTAAATCTGATTCGAGTGGTCTCAGTCTAATGTTATTTGCATATGCTGACCGGAGAAACAACGTAGATCGAAGGTCCATCTTTGGGAATTGTGTATATCTGGGTAATAGTCTCTAGTCACTTGGAGTTTGAAGAAACAAAAGTTTGTTTCTCGTTCAACTATGGAGGTACAATGTCAGAGAATAAAAGACATTTCTTCTGAAATTATCTGGATAAAGGGAATACTTTTAGACATGAGAGACACACAAGATAAGATTCCAGTGGTATTGAGGGACAGCAAGAGTATTTTGTTTACGAGTGTCAATCCAGTTTTTTGTGTTGGGTCTAAAGGTATCGACTTTGATGTTATTTTGTATGAGAGAAGATAAATGAAAAGTATTTGCAAGTCATTGATAAGTGTTTATTTTAGTTCATTCTGTATCGTTGGACTTAGTAAACTATTCATGCTTTTGCTAAATCCTTAAGTGTTTATTTTTTCCGTTCTTCTCAATGTTTGGTATAAATGGCTTTTCTTCTCAGTTCGTCTCAAGTCACTGGCAATAATTTTTCATGCTCACTATGGTAATTCTTCACTCACTGATTCACTTTAGTAAGTACTAGAATCTCTTACTATTTTCGTGATGTCCCTTTTTATCTTATATAAATAAATAGTCCCTCCAAATCTCAACAAACAATGACGATTCATAAGAACATGAAATGAAGTAAAAAGAAACAACCCATTTAAATCCCCAACAAACCGCGTTGGACGCTAAGACAGCTAGCATACCAACCTTAACCAAATTAAGGAAAAGCAAAAACACTCAAAAAGCTAAAACACGACTTTGGTAAAGCGTGTGGTATTCCATGTAATTTCAGCATAAGGCAATACCAGTATCGAGAATTGCAGCGTATAAATATAAGTTAAATTATAAATGAGTAAATTATATCATTCATAACTCAATTATATTCTTACTCCTATTTTGGTTACTAAAGTTGAAAAAATTTCAATTAAATCACTCAACTTTTGTATTGCTCCTATTGCTCTCACATATTTATTAATTTTTCCTGTTATATTAATATATTTCTTCCACATAAAATTATAATAAAAAACCATAAGTCATCCCTAAATAAGAAAAACCCTAAAATTTGCTCATCGTTCATTTCCACAACATCATTGCATAAACTATGAAAGGGGATCAATTATGAAACTAAAAAGGGCATTTGTAGAAATGGAACTGTTCGAAACCCAAACCTTAATCAGATTCTTCGGGAACTTTGGGGATATTACGAGCAACAATAGTATCTGGGATAATTCGAGTGTTGGTGTAGGCTTTGCTTTAGACCTCATCATCCTGCGTCATTAATGAGGTTGAATTGATTGATTGCTATTCAGAATCATTGTATATTTCATCTTCAGAAAATTCATCAAATGATCTCATGTCCAATTGGTTAGAAGGATGCCTCAAATACCGTCAAACCCATAGTACACTTGAGGACCCTATTATGATGTATTGATGGTCCGCTGCAACACATATGAGATGTAACAGAGAGGTGTTTTCGTTATAATGAGAGTGTGGTGAGGGTTATACGTTGGGGTTTAGAATTTGGGTACGTGGTTTTTAGGCTTTATTTTTTAGTTTAGGGGTTTTAGCATAGGATTTAAGGGGTGATTTAGGTTTTTAAATTTTAATTTTATTATAATATTATGTAGAAAAAGATATTAAGATAATATATAAAAATATAAGTGAGAGTGATTAAAATAAGAACAATTCAAAATATAAGTGAGAGTGATTAAATTAAACCTTTTTAAATTTTAGTGACTAAAATAGGACTGAGAAGATAATTGTATGATAAATGTTATAATTTACCCTAAACAAAATATATATACACATATAGTTTTTTTAGGTAGACAGATATACACATTCTTTTAAAATGGGGTAAGTCAGGAGACTGATCATTTTCACTACGTGCTTATTCGTGTTGCAATCAAAGTCCCTAAAATCGTTGCTGTCATTTTGCTGTATTTATATATGTAAGAGCTCTATCAATCCCCATACATTCTCTCTAATAAACCCCCTTTCCCCCTTCTCTTTCACTTTAGCAGTTGACCTTTAGATTAATATAATTGCTCTTTACAACTTTGGGAAGATCGTTTTTGTTCTGTTGGTAGCAAGAATGGAAGATCGCAAGGAGGCGAGTTCTTTGGTTTCCGCTTGGGCTTTTAACTCTCTTGATTATGCAGCTGCTTTTTGAGAAAGTTCAGTTGCTATAAACTTGTAGTAATTGTTTGAAGTTTATTTGCAGCCAAACCAGTTTATCTTTTTTGCGGAGTTCAGTATTTACAAGTCCATTGATTGATGAAAAGTATTTTAATTTTACAATTTCAAAGTATGAAGTAGTGAATTTATTTTTCCAAATATGTTTTTTTTTTCTGGTATTTGGGGGCTTCATGTCCTTTATACTGAAGAAACATCGATAATCTTAAAAGTGTTGGAAAAGAACAAGGAAAACATATCTCTGGTCTTTTTTTAATAATGTGCTATCTACTTTTATCTATGCAGTATTATACATAGAACAAAGCAACATAGGTGTTATTGTTCAGAATATTTTCAGTTCTATAAAATTAAAAAGTAGCAGTGGATTATGAATTTGGAATTTCAGCTATTGAATTGAACCAACAATGATGTTTTATTATATAATCAGTTTTAGGGTTTACCGTGTTTGCATCAAATTTGAGGCCAAAATTTATGATTGATTGCAGTTTGACAGCTCACAAAGCCATGGACTTTGTGAAATAAAAACTCAAATGGCATCTTTATATTCCCTGTCTTAGACAAAGAATTTCATATTCAAATAATATTCTCTTTGAGCATTGTTTCAGTCGAATTCGAGAGGGAACAACTCGTTCCATTGTATTCTTGAATGCATTGTAGTTAATGAGATTGTTGGCTTACTCTGTTCTAATGAAAACAAGCACTGATATAGCTTTGCTAATTGCTAATATTGGGTTATTGGGGTGTTAAAATTGATGCAGAAAAATACTCCATGGCTGTCAGTACCTCAATTTGGGGACTGGGACCAAAAGGGGAAGCTGCCAGATTACTCTCACGACTTCTCAAAGGTCAGGGAAATGAGGAAGCAAAACAAGAGGGATGTTTCAAGAGCCAGTCTTGGAAATGAAGAAGACTTCATTAACCCAACCGCCACCACCGTTAGCACCACTCCTAGCGATGATCACCACAATTACCCGCAAAACCATCACTCTCCATCTGTAAGATTCCCCCTTCAACTCTATTTTTCGAATTATTTTATCAGATGATGCACTCTAAATATAGATACCTAGTTTTGGTTGGTAGCTTTAAATAGCGGAGTATAAAGATATAAACTTTGGTGGTATGCATGTGCTAGTTCTGGTGGGGAAGTTGCTTAGCTGGATCAGTTAATCTTTTCTTTGATGTTTTGTAGTTTTTAAGCCCCATATAGTTGTAGGAGTTATTTTCTAATTCTTCTATCTTTTTGGTCAATGAATTAAAGATAAGAGCGTTGAAGATTGTGTATTGATATTATTGTTTATTTGGTGTTGATTTCTGATTGTATACTTTTCATACTTTGACAAATTCTATGATGAGCATGCCTTTAGGAGCCTATGGTTCCTGTTTCTCTTGTGACAGAAATTATATGTCGTCTAGAAAAAAAATACATGTGAATGTTTTTAATGGGGTTATATCTGTGACTGCATGATAAAGATGCGTGAATAGAAATGTGCTTACTGTAAGAATTCGATGACTAATATATGGACATATGTTTTGATTTTCTTGACAGACAAGAAGGAGAATCCTCAACTACTTCAGCTGTTGCGTCAAGGCCTAAGTTTTAGGGTTTAAGGCTGGCTTGAAGATGATTTTAAAGCTAGAGTCCGAGCTATGTCGATGTAGTTAGAGAGCACCCTCGTTCTTTAACCTTGTGTTTTTGTTTTCTCATCTCTATTCTATTCCTCTGCTGCCTCTTCCGCTTTATCACCACTTGGATTTTTCAGATTATGGAAGATAATTTATGCTAATCAAACCTGGTGATGGTTTCATGTATCTGAGCTTCCACTTTTCTTGGATTCTATGATGTATAATTTGAATGAATGTTTTGTTTTTCAAGTAAAATCTATCAATAGATTCATAAGCTGAGGAGACATGTAAGAAAGATCAGGTGGCTGCTTCACAAAATATAAAAATGGAGTTTATTTGAGGGACAAGCATTCGTTGTGTTATTTAACATAATAATTGTTATCTGTCAGCGATGTTATAAGTTCCCTAATTTTGTTTAGTGGTTAGGTCTTGAACATATTTCTCTTGATCCCCATACATTTGTCCAGATGAAGGTCCAAGATGTTATAAGTGCCCTAATTTTGTTTAGTGATTAGGTCTTGAACATATTTCTCTTGATCCCATACATTTGTCCAGATGAAGGTCTTGGACAATCTTCTTTTGCTGCATCTTTCACTTGTCAAGAAAACAGTAGCAATTTGCATCTAACAGTTTGCTTTCTGTCGACACCGTTTTTCGCCTGGGCGGGAAAAAGATAGATACCGACTCGAGGGTTTTCTCTTTGAAAATGAATTTTCTAAATTTGAGGAGTCGTCACCAATCATTTAATGTGCGATTGGGACACCGTGAAAATAAGGTGATTTTAATAAAACAATTTATTTTTATCAAAATATCGAGTTTTAAAGTCTGCGAAAATTCAAAAATCGGGTTCGGGAGTCACATACGTGTGGGGAAGGATTAACACTCCCACAAGCGCAAAAAAATTGATACATATTTGATTACCCTATATTTAAAATCGGAAATTTTGAGTTCGATCTTTATTTAATTTGAAAATCGTTACAGATGCAAAGTTGAAAAGAATATTCGTTTATTGAGACCGATAACATTCGCTCCCAAGCGTAAATGCGGGAGATCAGCTATTATGTCTGTCGCAACTGCCTTTCGTGTGGGCCTAGAATTTAGCTTCGACTTATTCTGTTTCTAATTACATTCCAAGAATTGGACAAGTAAACAAAGCATAAAAAACAACTAGAATACCTTGAACTATTTGCTTTTGATTTTAGACTCAGATAGTCGGATTGCTGGAAAATTCTTTTTTCTCTGTATTTTATTGCTGAAAATTCTCCTGAAAAACCGAGAGGAACCTCCCTTTACAATTGTTTCCCTTCCTCCTCTTTTTCTTACATTTTCATTTGGCTATTTATAGCCCTTATTTTACATAGTTTTACATAAAAAATAGTAACTTGGTACGACCATGCTTTAGATCAGATCTTACATGCATTTTTATCCTTGTGAGTTGGCAGGAAACATGCATTAGTGGAAGCTTGGTGTAATGCTGGGATGAGGACAAAATCCGGGGTCTACAATGCCTAATAACCGAATATTGCCTCATTTTTAGAAAATCATGATGCAGTTTTTGAAAAGGATGTCGACCTATTTCGGGAATCACCAGTAGTCACCCCCTGAGCATACTTGCGGGAGATATATCATTAATTCCCCAATAAGTGAACATTGTCTTAGGGTTAAAAATAAAATGCGATTAAACAAATTTTATTTATCCTAATTAAAATAAAAGTAAATTAAGGTTTTTTCTGGCTTAAAGTGTAAAATTATGAAAATTAAGGAACCTAGGGATTAGACCTAAATGTAGGCTCTAATATTAACCCTATTTGATTTTAATCAATTCTCAGATCAAAAAACCGAGATGGTCCCTTGAGCATTAAGGCGAGGGCTAACTCGAATTATTCCCTAAATTAAAAGACTAGTTTGAAATCTAACTAAAAGTGAAGGCTCTATTTAACCTATTTAATTATGTCAATATTAAGGCTCTAATCGAAATTCGAGGACTAGAAAGGTCAAGTTCTAAAAATATTGATTTCTAAAAGATTTAAAAGATTAAGGACCTAAATTGATAATTTCTAAAGTTGAGGACTACTTAAAAACCTAATTATTATCTAAATTATTAAACTTAAAGTATTTTTAGAAAATTATTATATATTAATAAATTTTAAAAGTCGAACAATCTATTCGAGTAATAGGGAATCTTATACGAAAACTCGACTCAAATTGGTCCCTAATTACACTAGAGTGTCATCCTAACTTCTAAGTTCGATTGGAGTATTAATCAAAGCAATTAAAAAACCTAATTTAAAAAAAATAAAATTACAATAATAAAAAAGTAAAAAAACAACATAAAATAAAAATAAAAAACATAAATATAAGGACCTAATTGCAAAAATATTAAATTACCAAGCTCAAAACAAATAAATTAGGCATGCAACAAGGGCTAAATTAAAATAAATCAAAATTTGAAGGCTAAATCGAAACAAAATAAAAATAAACATATTAGGATATGTTTATGGACTCAAATACAAAAACACGTTAAACATACAAGGACTAAAAGGAAAATAACTCTAAAAATAATATCATACATAAAATGGGTAAATCATAAAAATAGTCCCTACAGGTGATCATTTTGTAAAAACATGGGTGGGTTAGGGGGACCCAACAGTAAATATACCAAAAATTACAAAACACAAATAGAAATGGAAAAAATTATGAAAACAGTCCCTTCCAGTGGTTATTTTGCATAAACATGGGAAATGTTGGGGGACCTCTATGTGATTTCCCATAAAATTTTCTATAAATAACAAACATTTTCCTCTTTTCCTTTTGTTTGTTTTTAAATTTTTTAGAGAGAGAGGAGAGACTCTATCTCTAGAAACCGGTCGTCGCCAGTGGTCGTTCCTCCTCCAGCCGCAGTCCTAGTCATTGCCGGCCATCGCACCACTGGTGGACGTTAGCCAGCAAAAATCACTAGGAGGTTCATCTCGACCTCCTCGTCACCCATTTAGACCCGGGATTACGAGATATGGCGTCTACCATCATGAAAATGGCCGACAATCTTTTAGCTTTTGGTGTTCCGATCTCCGCGTCCGTCGTCGGATCGTTGCCGTTTCCATATATGTTGTTCTCCTCACCACTACGCGTATATTCACCGTTTAGATTGGGCAACGGATACCCCGACCACCGGTGAGTCTCCGACCGAAGGTAGCCCCTCTCATTCTCTTTATTTTTCGTGTTTTTGAAATTTTATAAAAAAATAAAAAATACCAGCAATAAAAAACCTTTGAACTGTTTTTTCTTCTGCTTTTTATTGATTTTTGAAAATGGAATCCCCCATTACAATGTATTGCTTAAGGTTTTAATTCCCATTTTATAGAGAAAAATGATGATTGTTTTTGTTGCCTTGTGTGGAGTTGGAGTGGAGATGGCGTGCTTGTAAAGAGGGGTGGCCTTTGGTTGGGTGGAGTTAAGGTGCCCTTTGGTTGGGTGATTGGGCGGTTATCGGGTCGGGTTTGGGTTATATCTGTAAAGGGTTTGATTTTGGGTCTTGGTTTGGGGCCTTAGGTTGGTTGTAAAAATCCAAAAAATGGTGCTCACAGCTGCCCCTCTTTGCTCATTGCCGTGAAACGGGAATGGAGCAAAGATAATAAAGCACCATTTTTCGTCTTGGTCTCTTCTTGTTAAGCTGTGAACTCTTCGCTGGGAATGTTAATTCATCTCTTTCTGTGAAATTGTCGAGTATTTGTTGTAAACGATGTCATCTTTGCTTCGTTCTCTTGGTTGAGTCTCCATCTTTAGTTCTTCAATCTACGAGTTCTTCTTATCATGATCTTTCCACTGGAATTGTTGATCCCTCGATTGAGCGTTGCTGATTTGAAGTGTTGTGAATCGAGAAAATGAAATATTAACCCCTCTGGTGAGACATTGATGATTCGAAGTGTTGTGAATCTAGCAAAGAAAATATTGACCCCTCTTTTGGGGCATTGATGATTCGAAGTGTTGTGAATCTAGCAAAGAAAATGTTAACTGTTCTATTGGGCCGTTGTTTGTTTTAAGAAAAACAATCTCAAGTGAGAAAATCTTCTGTTTCGAGTGAAACTATCTCAAGCGAAATAAAAATCGTTTGTTTCGAGTGAAACTATCTCAAGCGAGATAAAGTCTTCTGTTTCGAGTGAAACTATCTCAAGCGAGATAAAGTCTTCTGTTTCGAGTGAAACTATCCCGAGCGAGATAAAATCTTCTGTTTTGAGTGAAACTATCTCAAGCGAGATGTTGATCCCTCAAGTGAGGCATCGATGATTCGAAATGTCGTGAATCGAGCAAAGGAAATATTATCCCCTCTGGTAGGGCGTTACTGATTCGAAGTGTTGTGAATCGAGCAATAGGAAATGTTAACCCCTCTGGTGGGGCGTTGTTCGTTTTAAGAAAAACAATCTCAAGTGAGATAAATCATTTGTTTCGAGTGAAACTATATCAAGCGAGATAAAATCTTCTGTTTCGAGTGAAACTATCTCAAGCGAGATGTTGATCCCTCAAGTGAAGTGTCTCTAATTCGAAATGTCATGATCGAGCAAAGGAAATGTTATCCCCTCTGGTGGGGCGTTGTTCGTTTTAAGAAAAACAATCTCAAGTGAGAAAAAATTTATGTTTCGAGTGAAGTTATCTCAAGCGAGATTAAAATCTTCTATTTCGAGTGAAACTATAAAAATCTTCTATTTCGAGTGAAACTATCTCAAGCGAGATAAAACCTTCTGTTTCGAGTGAAACTATCTCAAGCGAGATGTTGATCCCTTAAGTGAGGCGTCGCTGATTCGAAATGCTATGAATCGAGCAAAGGAAATGTTGAAAACATCCTGCCCGAAGATCTTATGGATGGCCCGAAGGACTTATCATCTTGCTCGAAAGACTTATAGATGACCCGAAGAATTTAAGCATCATGCTAGAAAAACTTACTGATGGCTCGAATGACTTACTCATAATGAAACCCTTAAAAATCTAGTTTAGTTTCTTAAATCTTTCGTTTTCAATTATCATCAAGAAACCCCTAAAAATTAGGTTTAGTTTCTAAAAACTCATTTAAAAACATCAAGAAATCCCTAAAAATTAGGCTTAGTTTTTTTTAAATTCATCAGAAATAATCATCAAGAAACCCCTGAAGATCATGCTTAGTTTCTTTAAAAATTCTTTTGAAAACATCATGTTGTTTGGGTAATGTGCCCCCACATAAAAGTAATGATTCTTCTTGGATTGGGTTCCTGAATTCTTGAGGT